TGTGTGATGTTGTGTTGTTGTTATGTTGTGGTTGTGTGATGTTGTATTGTGTTATATTGTGTTGTTGTTATGTTGTGGTTGTGTGATGTTGTGTTGTGTTATATTGTGTTGTTGTGTTGTGGTTGTGTGATGCTGTTATATTGTTGTGTTGGTTTATGTTGTGTTGTGTTGTGTTGTTGTTTTGTTATGTTGTAGTTGTTGGCTCTGACTCAGTGACCACCTGCAACAGAGCAAAGTGCTGCCGGGTCCTGCACCATCTTCATGATCATTCTTATATTTGAGGCCACCAATGCAGCCGCAGTGTCCGTCCATCTTGTCGAGGGTGCCTCCCCTCTACTTTGTCAAGCATGATGGCCTTCTCCAGGGGCCGGCCTCTCCTGGCAACATGCCCAGAGCACACCCGTGGGCTCAGGAGGGGGATTTGTTCCCTGGTTGTTTTCCTCGGGCCTGATGTGGAGGAAACAGGATGACCTGTGTGTGCCCGTGCTAGGCTCGTCTTGCCTCTGTCTCACCACCTTCAAGGGCCAGGGCCTGCCCGTCCCTGCGCTTGGTCACACGTCCATCTGGAGGAGGTCTGCGTCTGCTGTGGTCTCGCAGAGCTGGGTTGGGTCATGCCCCCACAAGGTCAGCGCGAATGCAGACAGAAATCATCGAAGCCTGGGGTGCAGGGGCTCATTGGACCCTTATTTGCGTTGGGGGGGGGGGCAGTCCCTGTGGCCTGGCTGCAGTGGGCTGCTGAGAGCATATGAGCTGGGAATGGATCAGGGGGTGGCAGCCAGATACCAGAGGGCAGGTCCCTTACACAAGAAGGAAGAGGGTGCCTCCACTTGACAGGAGGAACCAAACAGGACAAGTGCCAGGGGGGTCAGTAGGCTGGCCAGAGCAGAGTGGGGCCAGGCAGCCTGGGGCAGTGCCAGAGGTGGGGGTGGGGAGGCAGGTAGGCTGGGCCAAGTAGGAGGCTGGGCCAAGCCAGAAGGGGGACAGGTAGGCTGGACCAGCAACAGAGTAGTGGGCAGGTAGGCTAGGTCAGGCCAGAAGTGGGACAGATAGGCTGGCTAGAGCAGAGTGGGGGGGTAGGTAGTTTGGGCTAGGCCAGAGTGGGGGACAGGTAGGCTGGGCCAGGCCAGAAGTGGGGCAGGTAGGCTGGGCCAGGTCCTAGTAGAGGGCAGGTATGCTGGTCATGGGAACAATAATAAAATGGGAGACTGGAAGGGGGTAAGAACATGGAGGGGGGACGGGTTAGCCATGAAATGGCCCACAATCGGGAAAGGACCATGCAGCAGGGACACACACACACACACACACACACACACACACACCAGAAACCACCTTGGTTGAACATGTGTCCAGCGCAGCCTTTATTCCCCTCAAATATGTGCCCCATCATCTCCAGCATGCCCAGCTGTGCAAGGCCCCTGTGCCCCAGGGCATGGAGATGTTCAACTCGCAGAGTCACCCAGGGGGCAGCAGGGCATCACATGAAGCCCACAGCACCATCAGCCCAGGCCCCTGCCCAGAGAAGGAGACAATCATTCTGAGAGGGCCCACTGGCCCCGGGCCTGTGGACTCTCATGAGCCCATGCCCTGTGCAGTCTGACATGGTGCCTGGGAGCAAGGTCCCCTACTCCCACCACCTGTGTGTGTCGGAGCGAAGATGCCCTTCTCCACGTGTCCCCGGCTCAGCTCTCCTCACCACCCAGCCTCTTGGTCTTGCGGAAGATGCTCTGCATGGCCGAGATGCGGTCCTCGTCCTGGATGTTGAAGACCTGGAACTGCACGAGGTGGGGGGACAGTCCACAGGCATCACCCGGCTGGGTCCTGTACACCAAGAAGACCCTGCCTGCCCCCCACCACCTGGCCTCTGGCTCTCTGCCTGGACGTCTGCCCCAGGAGGACCACAAACACCCCCACTCGCACAAACACACACGCACACACACATCCCGGCCTTGAGTCCTCTCCTGGCTGTCATTACCCGCCCCCTGCACACCCAGGTCTGCTTAGGGTCCTACCTCCTGACATGCCCCCTTCTAACTCACTCATGCCACTCCTTCCACAGCCTTTCTTCACTGCCTGCTGCCTGCCAACCTGCACTCCACCCACCACCATCCCCTCCAAGAACACCAGGACGGCTGCTAGTCCTCACCTCCAACTCTGGCCCCCAGTCCTATCCCCGCCATCCCCACCCCTCCCACTATCATCCCTGGGCACCTCCAGGGATCCTAAGAGCACACCCCAAAAGCAGGCGCAGGATCACTGGCTACGGGGGCCACCCCACAGCCCATTGGAGCCCGATGTCACCCCACCCCAAATGACGAAGGCCTAAGCTGGGGGGCCGTGGCCCAGAGGGTCCTGGCCTGAGGGAGTCTTAACAAGGGGGTCTTGATATGGTTCTTGGCATGGGGGTCCTGGCCTGGGGGGATCCTGACCTAACCTAGGGTGTCCTGTGTTTGAAAAGTCTTGGTTGAGCTCCTGGCCTAGGGGGGCCCTAGCCTGAGGGTCCTGACTGGAGGGGGCTTTGCCCTCGGGGTCGTGACTGGCCGCCCCACCTTGTCCAACAGCACGTCGAAGTAGGCCGTGGCCCAGTAGGTGGGGTCGCTGGCAGGCAGCTGCAGCAGGGACTTGATGCCATTGTGGATGCGAGGCGGCACGCTGCGGGCCAGGTGAGTGACATGCAGGCGCAGGGACGCCTCGGGCTGGCTTGCGAAGCGCTCCACACGCTGGTAGAGGGCGCCCCGGTCCAGGGCGCCGGCCTGCAGCAGGTTCCGCGCGGGCCACAGGAAGTGAGGCAGGTGCTTGGAGGCCAGGCAGCACAGCAGCACCACGAGCAACCGGTACACGGCGCCCTCCAGGTCGGCCCAGTCCTCGGGCGCCGGGAACAGCACGGACGCCCACAGCAGCACCGTCTGCGGGGACAGCAGGCGGGGGTCAGCAGGGCCACGACCCCCCGCCCGCAGCGCTACTTCCACACCTGCTCAGGACCCCGAAGCCCCCAGCTCCCAGGCTATCCCAGCCCTTTGCTGAGGACAACTGCATTTGCTGGCTCCTCTGCCCCAGCAGCTCTGACACACACACCCCGGCCCCCGCACAGCCGCACCTCTCTATGCCGCCCTCCTGGCGCTGCCCCACCTCTCTGCCCCGCCCATCGACTCCACCCTCCCGGCACTGCCCTCCTCTCTGCCACCCTCCCCCCCC